GGGAGCCTTGGCCTGAGCTGCAGGGCTGAGCACACATCCTGCGGGTTCCTGCAGCGCTGGCACTGTCCCTGCATGTGTCCCTCCCATCCCAAAACGCTGGCATTGTCCCCAGTGCAGAGCCAGCACGTGCTCTGTTGTCTCTGACCGTGACGGATAATTTTCATTGCTGCTGCCCTATTTTTTTGGGGCTGGTCCTGAAGTCAGGGTAAGATCCAGATTATCTCTGCTGATACCTGCAGCAGTGTAGGTAGGTCACTGGTTTACCCCTGACTGGTTAGTACTTAATGCTTGTAAAATCCCTCTTTGTAAGGAAGAAAGAGCAACTGGCAGCTAAACAGTCTCCTGTAACATAGGACAGACAAATGTCATCTCGACAGCATGATTGTGTAGTGCAGCCAGTCTGGCTTTGGGCAGCAAAGTCTGAATTAATCTCTCCTCATCCTGCCTCCTAGCCCCTAAATCCCCCATCGGCTGCTTCCCCAGAGAGGGCTCAGGTTTGAAGGTGATGTTGGTGCTGATCCACTGGCTCTGATAAGGGCTGGGGAGGGCAGCTCTGCTGTGCAGCCAAGCAGGGTTTGTTCCAGTTTTACACTGGCCCTTTTGTGACTGTGTCTCTTGGCTGCAGGATCACTTGGAAGGGGATCTCCCCAGCCAGCATCCTTTTTTGGGTGGATTTTGGTAAATGGGGCTGGTTTTGAAACCATGTCCAGATTGTCCCAGAGCATCTCCCAGTGCTGGAGAAGGCTACTTTCCAGCCATTGGCCTTACTAAGAAGTCCACAGGGCTGGCCAGTCTAAAGTAATTTGCATTTCTTGGTCAGTTTGACCTTGGCAGCTCAGGAAATTGCCATTTCTATGAATTTGGCAGGAGCAAAACGGAAGGCAGTGGCCAGATCTTGCCAATGGGCTGTGTGAGAGCCTGGCTGGCAATTAGGAGAGCAAGTTGTGTGCCTGCAGGCTGGTGCATGCAGAGATGAGTCCTATTTCACCTCACCTGGGGACCTGCAGAAGGGGCAGAGGATGGGAGACTGGTGGGTAAAATATGTCATTCTCCTGCCTGGGGCTCCACATTTTATTTGTTACCTGGAGCACTGTGTGGGTGGGAAGCGTTGCCTGCTGCTGTGCAGAGGAGCCCCTTGTGCCCAATCCTTTTTCCTTTCTGCTTACATTTTTTTAGAAAAACAAGCAGTGAGGTTGCTGCTGGAAGCAGCTCTCCTAAGCAATGGCTGTTAGGGCTCCAGAGCTGCTGAGATGTTTGGATCCAGGTGCACAGCCTCGACTCTTAGTAGATGTGGGCATTGGAGGAGGGCTACGGACTCTGGAGCAATTAGAGGACCCTGCCAAGTGGCACTAGTGCAGGGGAAGCTTGGAGAACTCAGCAGAGGGGGTGTGAGTAGTTTCAAAAAAACAAAATAGCATCGAGGCATGGCTCCCCTCTACATCTCCCCAAGAGGACCCTGCAGCCCTGCTTCACCATCAGTGTGGGGACTTGGATGCTCTTAGGCTGTTCATTAGTAAAACCTCTGAGCAGTTCCTACTGCCATCGAGTACCTATTAATGCCTCTTCAGGGAGAGGAGAGCATTGGAAAAGCACAAAAACAATCTGAGGGCCCTTTATTTCTTTTTGGTCTGAGAGGTCATGGGCTGAGGTTGGAAGGGAAGAGGGGCCAGGTGGGGATGCCAGGCACGAAATCAGCACCGTGATTATCTGCCGAAGTCTGAGTGCAAAACCATAACCTGATTTGAACTGTTACTTCTTCAAGACTCCTGGGAGTGCTTTAGGGTTATAAACACCTACTCAGTGACCTGCTTTGTGCACATCTCGAGCCAGGTATTCCCACACCAGAGGGAAAGCCAGCAAAACCTGCACAGATGTCTTTAACAGCTGCAGCCGGGCTGCCGTAAGCCACCCCTGCTGCTACAGTTTATTAGCACTGCAGGGTCTGTCCCCCTCTCCCCCTTCTTGCCTGCTTGTGTGTACAGTCAGCTGTTAAAGGACACTGACATCACCTAACGGTTTAATTGAATCTCACAAAGGGATCCAAATTGGCTGCCTGACTCTTGTCACTGAGATGCTCATGGAAGAAATAGTAAATCACCAATTCAGCAGATAAAGCTGCAGCTCTGAGCAGAAAGTCCTTGTTGCTAGGGATAGGGAAGTAATTCCTCTTTGCAGAATAATACACTATTAGGGAGATGACTGAGGGCTATTTTTCCAGGCCACCAGGTTCCATCCCTGTGCAAGGGAAGGGTAACCGTGTTAGTCTAACTCCCCAAGGCGGTGTGGCACTCAGTAAGGGGTAAACAGACCTGAGGCAGCATTTTATCTGTAAGTCAGGAGCCTGTTCTGTGTTTTACACTGGGATTTAAAGGGATACAATGGAGAGTGGTCCACGTGACCGTTTATTTAGAACGGAAGGCAAGATCTCAGGAAAGACCAAGGTTGAATTGGGATGAAGCTTTGTAGCCAGCAGCAATTCTTGAGATTGTTTCGCAGAAAAAGTCATCTTTTAGTGTAGGGAATCAAGTTAGGAGGGAATGGAGTGAAAAATGTCCAAAAGCAATAGGGAAGCCCAGAGGGAGAGGATATGACCCTAATGAGAGTGCTAATGCTGTGGCCGTGCTACTGACAAATAAAGTAATTGCTGCTCAGGAGGAATGCTAGCCAGTAGAAAACGGCTTTCCACCAGATGCCAAGAAAAGCAATTAGAACTCATAAACACCAGTGGCTGACTAAAACCAGGCCCTTAATTAATAGTTTCATTTGAAGGGTAAGGAAATCGTTAAGCACTATTGGTGTCTATTAATTCCCTGCAACACGAACCACAATAGAGTTTTAAGCCTTCTTCCACTGTAGTGTGTGCAGGAAGGAGCACCTGAGCCCTTGCTTTGTGAAGCTGTGCTCCCTCCCCTCACTGACTGCCCCAGAGCACTGGGATGTGCTGCAGGATAGGACATGGTTCTGGGAGTGCTCCATCAGGGCAGGAGAGAAGGTGGATGGAAAATGTGATTTCAGTAAAAAGCTGGACAACTGAAGTACTGTGCTGGGGAGCTCGGAGTACAGGGAGCTCGGGGTCTGGAAGATTTGCATCATACTGTACAGATCCCATCCACTGAGCCATGGAGAACAGTGTCAGCCTCTTCTGTCCAGAGCAGAGGGTGTTACAGCACTGTCCGTCCAAGGAAGAAGTAGGGGTAGCTACCAGAAGTAGGCACGGCAGGGAGGGACATAAAGCAGTGGTGATGCACTGGCAGAGTTCGAAAACCTTCACAAACACCCAGAAACCAAGAATGTTAAGGAGCGGCCTTTACAGAGAACACAGCCTTAATTTTAAGTTTGGGTAAGACCAAGATTTATTCTTCTTGTTTTCTGACTCTTGATTCACCCACATACTCTTTCCTGAATTCCAGAAGGACCACAGATCTCTTCACAATCTTACTTTTCAATTTGTTCTACCATCTTCATGTGACGTGGGCACCTCTGCACTGATGCAATGAACAGGCTGCAGTAGAGAACAGCAGTGTTTGGTTTTGTGTGTTACACAAACCTGCCAGCACAGCCTGGTGCCCTTCCTTTGTCAGGTTGGTTGCTATGCTGGGCACAGACACCAGCCCAGCCTTGCTGTCAGCACATCACACACCCCTTCCCCAGCCAGCTGCCTGCATATTCAGAGAGTTCATCTTGGCAGTTTATGGCTGACCTGCTATCTTCTTAAAAAGCAGAATATTAAGTTCCTAGTGCAGCCAGGAGTGAGGTAGACACTCTTCTAGTGTGTCAAACATCTATGGAAGAGCCTCACTTCCTCATTCAGATCTGTGACAGCTCGAGGAACTTCCCTTTAAGATCACCTACCCTCCCTTCAAATTCAAAGAGTTGGACTAAAGTAAGAGATTTGTCTAAATCTTGTTTTCTCCTGTCAAATGCAATTCAACAGGCTTTTCTAAGCAGAGTGATTTCTTTCAAAACCTGCCGTATGCCATTCAGCCCCATGAAGGAGGTTCACTGCCTTGTTGCTATGGTACCCTTTCTCTAGAGGAAAAAAATAGTTAACTATGCAATTTAAGAAACTACAGAGGAATGACAGAATGAGAAATAATAGAAAGGAAGATTCTGCATTTGCAATATAACTGCTGGCTGCTCCAAAATACACTGTGTTTACAGGTGAAATTCTTGCCCAGAGCATGTTGTATAGGGCCAGGGCTTCTCTGGCAGCAGGGATTTCAGTGAGATGCCCTTTGCTGGGCACTGTGCCTCTGCCATCCAGCAAATCAATCCTGTAGTCAGTTACTGCTGTTACCTTCCCTGCTTAATGCTCCTGACATATTTTCTTGGCAGAAATTCTGGATAGAGCTGGGACAGTGATAATACATCACAGACCCACAACAAGCTCCTGCTGCTTGTGGATACACAGAGGTACAATTCAAGACTTAAGTGCTTTGTATCTCCTTGGCAGCATTTCATTATTCCTTGGGCCTAGTAACCCCTACTTGCTTTCCCCAGGACCCTGGAAAATCCAGTTTGTGGTGCACAAGGCAGGGCCAAAGAGACTGCAGGCATCAAACCTGGCAAGACCCCAGCAGCCCCTTTAGAAAGAGTGGTGCTTTCCTTTGCCAAGAGCAGTGGCAGGTCAGTACAGCTTGGATGAAACAAAGTGCTGCAAGAGATCTTTGCCAGGAATGGATCCAGGCTGGTGCTCTGTGAACAGGGAGAGCTGCCTCTCTTAGGGTACACGTAGCTCTGTGAGCCAGGGGGAAGGAAAGTTACTCCATGCCTTGTTTCCCAATGTGAGCTGTGAGACAAAGAGGGAAGGAAGATGACCTGACCCTGTGCAGTTGTTTATTACAAATGACTACAAGGAGATCGAGATCTCAGGCTCTCCTTCTGCCTGACAAGGGCACTAATGGCATGGAGGACTAGTCAAGAGCCACATGTGGTGGTAAGAGGGAGAGAGCAGTCGAAAAGCAATAATAAGGCAAAATACTTCTGGGAACACAGCAGGAATGGCTGTCAAAAGACCAACATTTTAATCAACAAACTTTGTACACAAGAGGCTTCCCACTAAGGGAATACACGGATTCCTGCTTTCACCAGCAGCTTCTACCTCCTGCATTTTTAAGGCTCAGCATGGCCTCTCCAAGCTTCCCTAAACAAGAACTTCCAGGGAGGGTGGCCTTCCAGAATCTGTCACAGAAGCAATATTCAACTCAGTCCCTGATGAACTGATTCTGAAAGCTGGGTGTCCCTTGCACTGCCCTCACAGTCTCCTGGCTTTCCGTGGGCGGCAGCCGTTGTGGGGGACTGGGGTGTTGTCAGTGATGGAGATGACCTCCAAACCTCCCATGGTCAGCCCCTTGATGGCAGCCTGCAACGAGACAGCAGATGACAGTTACCAACACACAGAGCAGCAGAGAAAGGAAAAAGCTCAGGCCAAAACAGTTTCGTCCCCCATCTGAAAATCAACTTGCTCCAATGCTTCTTCTCACTTTGTAATTCTTAAAATTAAGTAACTCATGTCAGAAAACCCAGTTTAAACTTACCTTCTCTAGTCCTTTATTGAACATTCCCATTAATTTTCCTACTTTTTAGCCATAAGAAGTCCCAAATACAGCTTTTATTCTACCTCCAAAATGGTATTACTCTAATATTCTAATGACTCTAAAAACTCATTACTGGGCACTTGGGTGAGGAACCCTTTGTATCAGCTTCAGAAAAAACAAGTTAATTGAGACCAGCCTGATTTTAGCAAACATCCATGACAGCTGAGAAAATAAAGTATGGAAAAGAAACTCCAACACCTACTTTGCGTCCTGGTCCCAGTCCTTTCACCATGACTCGCACGTGCAATACACCCTTCGTACGTGCTTTCTGTGAAAAGAACAACTGGTTAGTGTTCTCGCTGACATAAACTCTGGCTCCCCTGCTGTCTCTCATTTTCATAGCAGTATTAAAGTAAAAATAAAGATTAGGTAATAATGGATACAGAAGATAGATATGGGGATTAGTGCAGAGACACTAAGAGCAAAGGAGGCTGGGATATGGTCATGGCAGTTCAAGAGAACTTCTGTGCTGGACTATCAGCTCTGCACACAGAGAAAGCTCTCAAATCAAACTATCTGTGACCTAAAGCCAGGGCAGAAAAGGACATATCCATGGATACATGACTGAAGCGGCAAGGGACTAACAAAGACTAACTCTAAGCTGTTTTCCTTTCTCTAATGTGGCGACTTCTCCCCTGTGAGCAGTGGATTCTTTCTGGAGAGTAAATGAGAAGAGCAGGCAAGCTTTAGATTTGCTGTGCAGGAGTCCACACCTCCAGTGCAAAAATTCTAGGGGCTTGCAAATTGGAAATGAAGAACTACTGTACAGCACAGCCCTGCTGCCACCACGTGGAGGGAGCTCTTCTGGCTCTCTTTCTCATTGTGCTCTGGTGCAATTAACGTACTAACTACTTCAACAGTGACAGAATAAATGTCCAAGCACAGCTATGCAGCTATTATAAGGCTCCAACGAGTACAGATTAATAGTGAAGATGTTCTTACATCCCTCCGAGTCAACCACAATAAGCTGTTGGCCAGCAGTGGCACCAAACTCCTCTGGCATGAAAGGCTGGAGTGAGTTCCACCTAATTTACGATAAGGGTTTTCAGTTTAACCTTGCCTCATTTTGCTGTAATGAGGACCATGGCACAGCCAGCCTCATCTCCTCCACCTGGACACCCACATGGTGTTTTTTTAGAAAGAGTTACAATGAACCATATGCAGCTAGAAACTACAGGTACAAGAACATCACTTTATCTTGACTGGAGCTCAGTTCTGTGGCAGAGAGCAGACATAAAACATCCAGACAGTAACTACAACTACTTCTCAGTCCCCATACAGTGCAAAACTGGAACTGCTGCTGATTCAGGGGCTACATTCCCCAAATGACTGGGAAGTGTTCACTTAGGAAAACAGGAGGCTATGCAGAATGGCATTAGGAAAGGACAGGCTCCAAGTTACAATCACACATTTCCAATCACAACCTGCACAGCTCAGCTCATGCTCTGGGCATTTTAACAGCTCTTTCAAACACACTTTGTCTGCGTGCAAATGAAATTGAGACACTGCTCCAGCACCACAGAACAGCTATGGAGTGCTGCCTGTGAGCCAGGCCTGTGCCCAGGTATGGGGGCAGGCAGTCAGTGCTCCCCTCGGGAGGTGGGGATCTCGGGTGGGACTCACCACTGCTGCTGCCATGGCTGCAGTCTGTGCTGCGATGGCAGTGCCCTTCTTGGCGTTCTGGAAGCCCTCTGTGCCGCAGGATGTGCGGGAAAAAGGCTGGTTGTCAAAGCTCACCACCTGGATGTGGGTGCTGTGGAAAGACAAGGGTAAAGGGAAGAAGCAAGCTGGAACAAAGCTTCATTCTCCAGTTTCTCGCTCACCTTACTGGCACAGCTGACTGCAGGACTTCTGCTTCCCTTTCAAAGTATCCCACTTAAACCCACTGCAGAGACCACCAGCAGTGACCTTCTGGTCATCTTACAGACACGGGCAGAACTTTTCTGGAGAAGGTGTGCTTTACACATTCAGTACACCTCAGACTCCACTCAGCCCTTTCTGACCCACCTCTCACTGCATGTTATCTCTTCTATTAAAAAAACAAAAGTGCACAAAACACTTCTAGAACTTGAAAGAGCCTTAAGCAGTAACATATCACAGGGGGAATCACTGATGAAACACAACTGTCTCTCATGGAGAATATGATAATTTTTTCAACACCAAAAGAAAAAGAAATAGTACAGAATAGTACAGAAATAGTGCTAGAGCAGTGGGCTGGAAGTAAGCTTCTGTTAAAACTATCAGCATCTGATTATTCGTATCAGAATGTAATCAAAATGTATAAAACCAATCTCATTGCTTTTAAGATACTCCAAGGACAGTTGTGCTCCCTGAACAACAATGAGGTTTAAATCAAGGGACATCTTCCCAGCCATGAACACCACTCCCCTGGCTGTTTTCCTTTGAGCCTTTAGATCAAAATGATGACAGGCCAAACCCCGGGTTCTAAACTTTTATTTCATACGAGAGCAGAAATGGAGCAGTTCATTTGCTTACTTGTTGTACGTTGCTTTGATGTGAGCTATCGGGACCTCTTCATAAACCTTGCCATCCCATCTCATGGAGTTCCTCTGCAGGATTGAAGAGCTGAGGAGCAAAACAAGAGTTATCAGGCCTCGCTCTTTAAACGTTACAAAGTTTCATTTCATAACGGGAAATAAGGAAAGAAGGGATCAAGCCTCCGAAAAACACAAGCTGCGTTTCTGATTGAGTCAAGCGGCTCCCTCCCCTTCCTCAGCTGAAAACCCACCGAAGGCGATAAAACCTCGCAGCAAGCGGCAGATGGCAGCGCCCTCCCGGCGCGGCCTGGCCTCCACTCTCACCTCTGCTCGGTCGCGCTCTGCTTCTCCGTCTCCTTGGCAGCCGCCCCCGCCGTGTCCTGCAGCCTCGGGAGGCCGGTGCGGAGCCCGCGGCACAGGGCGGCGGCGCGGGCCCTGAGGGAGACAACCACCGGTGAGCGCTGGGGGGGTGCGAGGATTCGGGACAGCGATACCGAGAATCCCCAGCGGCCACCCCGCAGCGAGGGGAGCTCTCCTCTCTGTCCCCTCGCTGTCCCCCGCTCCCCACAGCCCGTCCCGCTCTCCCCGCTCACCCCCAGCCCAGCACGCGTTGCCCGGCGACCGCCATGGCGGCGCTCATGGCGGCGGCTGCGACCCGCGGCGGGGAGCGGCGGCGCGGGGCACGCCGGGAACGAGGAGGGGACATGGCGGGGCATTGTGGGGCGCGGGTGATGGCGGCGCCCCTGGCCCGGCGGGCGGCGGGCAGCGCTCGGTGGGTTTGTAGCGCTGCCGCGCGGCGCCCGTGGAAGCTTTTTGGGGCGATGTGCTTGTTGAGGCTTCCCCGAATCACGCAGCCCTTGGAAAAGGAGGAGGAAGAGGTGGCAGCGCTCATGGAGCAGGTAGAGGGGGCATGGCGGTGTTGATGGCGCTCTCAGGCATGAGGGGAGAGGAGCATCAGGGGCTGTCCGCCTTGCACACGCCGTCTGTGATGTTGCTCCCCGAGTGTTCTGCGTGCGGTTTGCACCATATCTCGTGGGTGCTGGTGGTGTTCCCATGGTCTTCCCCCATGGTGTTGGTGTCCCTGTCACACGCTCCTGCTGCAAGCAGGGAACCCTGCTCAACCTCAGGAAATTCCCGTTGCCTTAGGTTTGCTGAGTTGGGAATAATTTAATTCTGCTTGCTAATACCTATAGTGCTTGTGGCTTAAGAATTCTTTATGTTGCTCTCCTAGATAGAGCTGGAGAAGAGCCACTATTCAGATCACGAAATCCGTAAGCTGGAGGAGGAGGAGCAGCTCAAGAGGAAGAAGGAAAGCTTGTACGATGAGGATGAAGCACGTGGCAAGACGGTCATCATGGCTCAGGACCTGGAGGAGAAATGGGAACAGAAGTTCCTGCGGTTCAAAGCTGCCCCACGGATAACAGGTGCAGCCTGGAGTTCGTGCTGGGTGAGAACACCCAGATTGTTTGCCAGAGTACAATTTAGTAGAAGGAAGGCATTTTTGGGTCTTTTTTTGTTTGTTTGTTTTAAAGACGGTCTTGACTCTATAGCAGCACACGTGCAGTTAACTGTCTGACAGGAAAATCAGTGTTCCTATGCTGCAAAAATGTGTATATTCCGTAGGGAAAAATGGTGAAAAAAAGATGTGTTTTTCAGACAAGAGAAATGTTTGGTTATTTGGTTCCCAAGCTCTGCTTAGTGCTCTTGGTGATTTTTGTGAAGGTGGAGATCCAGGCTGTTTATTATAGAGTCCTTCTGAAAAGGAAAACAGGAGGTGAATCCTGCAATGACTTCCAGAGTGACTGAGAGCATTCCTGTCTAGATTTTTTTGTCTTATTCCATGTATCCACATTTGTGTATTGTTGCTGGATGTGAGGGACAGAGGGTTGGTAATCAAGGGGAGCAGAGCACGCTGCCAGGAGACTTTGTTTTCATCATGTGTTGGTTTTTGGCAGATGCTGATAAAAGCAATGATCGAACATCGTTGAGCAGGAAGCTGGACAGCAACTTGATGCTTCTGGTGAAACAGAAAATTGGTAACCAGGAGCTGTGGCTCCTGCCTCAAGTGGAGTGGCAGCCTGGAGAGACGCTACGGAGCACAGCTGAGCGAGCCATGGCTACGTTTTTGGGTGTGTAACTTGACCCTCCCTCTTGTTTGTCCCAGTGGTTTTCTTTCAGTGCCCTGTCTGAGAGATTCTTGCCATCTGCTGTGGTGAAATCTTCTCCTGTCTGCTGGGAAAAGGCATGTTATGGCAGAGAGCTGGCACACTGCGAGTTGGGATCTCTGTCTGCCAGCAGCAGCAGTGCCATGTCTGGCCATCATGATCTGATTTTGGGGTATCACCAGACACTTCTGGATGTCTGGGATTGCTTTGGGCTTCTCTTTCCCTCTAGTTGCTCTGTAGTAGCTTTTGTGGCAGATGGGTGATGATGACAAACATGTGTCCTTGCTTTTCACTCAAGATTGGCAAAGCTGGATACCCTCCCCTTCCTCCCTCTCCCACTCTGAGAGGTCTCTCTGGTCCCCAAATAAGCTGTTTTTTCATGAGAAAATCCACAGGTTTTTTCACAGTTGTCAGTATTTCTGCTAAAGAGGGAACAGTCAGTCTGAACCACATACAAGGAATGGCTTATGCTGTGTTTTTATTATACAGGGGAGCAGTTATTGTTGCTCTCTATTCTTATGTCTTACTGTCTTTCTCTTGCATTGCTGGCTTCTTGCAGGAGATCACGTTCAAGCCAAAGTCCTGGGGAATGCACCATATGGGATTTACAAGTATAAATTCCCCAGGGCCATCAGAACTGAGAATAATGTGGGAGCCAAAGTCTTCTTCTTCAAAGCCTACCTCCAAAGCAGTGATTTGTCCCAGGCAGAGCTGAAGGCAGATTATCTGTGGGTCACAAAGAAGGAGCTGGGAGATTACCTGAAGTCGGAATACCTGAAAAAAGTCAATCGATTCCTCCTGGACTTGTAAGCAATGGCCTGTGCTCCAGCAGATGGGGAAGATGTGGGACGTGGCTCCAGGGAGGAGCGTGGCTGCTGCTTTGCATGGTCTGTGTGTATCAGATGTTCACTTGGGCTCTGGAGGATAATTTGCCTTTGCCTTATTTCCCAGTTCTCTTCGCTGGGCCTGTACTGAATAAATATTAAAATCTATACTTGGAAGCGAAGCTTTCCTAAGGGAGTTCTTTGCTCTTGTTGAATTCTCTTCCTCCACCTCTTCTGGAAATGCATGTTGTGATCCTTTCCTCTCCCAAGAGTGTGGTTCCCTGGGGCTGTGGTACCCAGAAGGTTTGCTTTCCTCTCCAGATTCCTGTCACAGGCTCAGCCTCAAAGGGTTTCTCCTTGCTACAGCTAATGCTTATCGCTGGTACCTGCTCTCTGATAAGAGCAGCACTGGAGGGTTATCTGTGTGTCCGGGTGGGAACAGACTCTCCTGACCACCAGCCAGGACAAGGTAGGTTTCTGGGCAGATGTGAGCAGGGATATTTACAGCTTATTAACTTTTAGTGTTACCTGCCTCTGGCTTGGAGTCTGTGATGCACAGTGGCCGTGGAGGACATGGATCCATGAGGAATAGACAGCTGCCTTCCCACTCACACTGCCTCCCTGTGAGCTTCAGGTTACAGCAACAGACACTGGAGGAGGATAACAGCAACAGAAGCTGCTCTCTGTCTGGGCTGGGAGGCTTGTTTTTCCTGGGAGGAGAAGGTGCTTTATCATTGCTGCCTCGTGGGAGCAGCCTCAAAGGTGTCCTTAGGGAGTTTTTAGCTCCCATTCCCACTGCATCAGGCCAGCACTGCTAACCAGCACAGCTGGGTCTGCCTCAGGCAGCCTGACCCTATTACCCCAATTTCTTTATTAGAAGATCTATCCTGGGCTTATGTGGTGCTGTCTTGGCGCTCTGAGGCTGGTTGTGTTGTTGGAGGTTTTTTCTGGTTGTAAATGTTGCTGTTCAGTAGTCAAGAGTGCTGCTGGACTTCGCAGGGAATGAGCTTCCTCCAGCAGCAGGGAGAGAGGGAGGAAATAACTGTCGTTAATCATCCAGAGAGAGTTTGGCCTCCAGAGGTGGAACTGGAGATTGCTGTATGTATTTTATCAATCCTTTGGGAGCTGTTGAGCTCCAGGCCTCAAATTAAAGTTATCCTTAATCACTCTGCAAGCCATTGGGATGGAGGGTAACACAGAAACCTTCCATTTTCTAGTGCAGGACAGTTTAGGAGCTGCAGGTTTGCCATAAATTACCAACAAAATCTGGGTCCTGGAAGCATCCTCACAGGCCAGGCAAGGAGGCTGAGTCTGCAGCAGAGAGCAGTGGCAAAGAGGAAATAAATATGGAGCAGAACACGTGCCTGAAAGACTGCAGATTTTTGGCTGCTCTCTGAGATCAGTACTGCTGAAGAGAGGCCTCTTACCTTTTACAGGAGTGGAAGCTCCTGCAGCAGGGGGACGTGAGTCCTTCCCCTCAGGCTGTGCCCCTCCTGTGGGGGACATGGGTGCAGTCAGTACAGGTTTTCTCTGCTGCTCTTGTTTCAGGCTGTCACTGGCTTCAGAAGATGCAGCAGAGCCCTTGTGGCCACAGGCTTAAGGCATGCCCTTAGCTAAAGAGTCTGCCCTGATTCCCATAGCAGGGCAGGTTTTTTATTGCTGGGACAAAACCTTCAAAGCATAAAAAATGTTGTTTAATCTGTGCTTGCTCCTAAAAGACAGCACAAATGAAAGAAAAGACTGTACTGAAACCTTGCAGATCTTCAGACCCAGACAGTTCCTATTTCTGGATTACTCAAGCTGCAAGTCTTTCGGCATTGTCTGTGCTGAGAGATGTCTAGCTCCTTCAGCAGTGGAAAGGTCAGAATCAACAGCATCCTTCATTTAAAAATACTTTTTCCTTGTCCTCAGACCTTCTTACAGATAGCATGTGTGTGAGAAGCTTGGTCTATTCTGAAAGCTGAAAGTGTTGTTTTCTCATCACCTGAAACAAAAATTCCTGCTTGCAACCTGCGTGGGAACAGCACCATTTATTTATTTATTTATTAATTTATAAAAAAAAAAAATTCCTTTAGTTGATTTTATTTAAAACCACTCAGCCAGTTGCTGCAAATGATCCCAGATCCCGAAACTCAGGGGCTTTTGCTCAGTTCTCCTGTGGGATGTCTTCCCCAGCCTTGGGGAGAGGGAAGGCAGGAGGATCCTCGAGGATGGTTTGAGTCTTCTCATTTCCTCTACCCCCAAACTCCTGCAGTAGGTCACTGAGGCTGTTCTTTTCCTTTGGGAACTTGGTGGCTGCAGGCTGTCTTTCCACTCAATGTGAACCTGTTCCCATACTCAGAGCTGCAGAAGTCTGAGCAGGCTGGTGTGATATATTTTGCTGGTAACTGCTGCAAGGGCAGCACAAAGCCTGAGAGCCTTTTCTGAGAGAGCAGAAGAAACCTGTGGAGTCGTGGCTGTGTGAGAGTTGCTGCAGCCAGGTGTGTCTCTTGCAGTCCAGCACAAAGAGCAGGGGGAACGTTTTACTTTTGTTGAACATAAAACATAAAATTCCCCTTGAAAACGTGATGGAGAACCACCAGAGTGTTTTACTCGGTGTTGGGGGAGGCTGGAGCTTTTTTGCACCCAAATCCTGGAGGATTTTTCTCACCTTGACAACGGCCTCACATCAGATTTCTGCCAGAACCTGAGGCCACAGCAAATCCCTGGGAAAGAAA